CTTTCTATTTCACTCCCAGCACAGCAAACAAATTTTGTCCTTCAGACATTGGAGCAAAAAATGTGCCGTCCTGTTTTATGGGAAAGCTCCCTTCCTGATTTTTTTAAGGTCCCCTCCAACACAAGTCTTTCTATGATTTCTATGATAAACCCTCCATGATATGCCATGGTGGATAACTCAACGCCTGAACAGCTGTGTTTTGACCACTTCATGTTACTCTTCTGTCTTGTGGAAGATACAAGAAATATTTTTAAAACAAATCCATACCTCCACTGGCTGGTAAAGGTCATTTAAAATCAACTGTGCCCTATTCTAAGAGGAATCAATAACCTTTTTTTCCTCTAAGAAGGCAATTCATTGACTTTTCTGTGGAAGTTCAATCATCTTTTCAATGTTCAAATAATCTGCACACAATCCACTTAATTTTGATTCTGAGGGAGAAACTTTGAAGAAAATAGTAAAAAGACAATGCAGACAAGCATGACTCTACTGAACATATCTGGTAAGGTCTATGAACAGGGAGAAAATTTGTACAAATTACTGAAGACATCTCTCTTGTAAATTGGGTTGACATCTTGATACTGCAACTCTTCAGTCTCCTTGCAGCCTTCCTCAATCTAGACTGTTCTGTGTTTCTCATTCACAAAATATCCCTGGATTGATAAAAGCCACAAAGACCATGGATGTTTCTGTCCTTTAAATTCTTATTGACTCTCCTCCCTTCATTGCTCAAATATATTCTCAGGTCTTCTGATCTGCTCTCAGCAAAACACCATGGATATATGTTTACAATTCCCATTTTCAGCAGATGCAGGCATACTCCTCACAGACAAGTGTTGCTGCACAGAGCAGGAAAGAACACCTAGCTGAAGACTGACTGGCTCAAGCACTTTGGTGCTGCTCGTACTTTCTTCTTCGCAGTGAGACAGACATTAATTACAGGAGACTGAAAGGAGTTTGCAGCCTGTGGGTAGCACATCAAACAGATATTGGGTTGAACTTCTGGTCTGTTAATGTGCAGTTTCTTGGTGCTATAGAAAGGCTATCATAACTCAATTGGCAAATTCCAAGCTCTGATGTTGTTCTGATTATAAAAACTTTCTACAACCAACTAGGAGGTAGGAGAATGCCTTATCACATGCATATGCTTTTTAACCCTTCAAGTGTTGCTACTGTTGGGCTGAAAAAGAATCAAATGTTTCTCATCTAAAAAAATAAGATTGGGAATGAACAAGAAAAAGAAGGAAAGACTGATAGATCAGGAACTGCAGGTCTGTTCTTCTGGTGACAATTACTTTGTCTTCACACCTGAACTCCATACCCCTTTTCTACTCCATTTTGCTCCATTGCTATACTTTGTCCTTAATCCTTACCCTGCTGTGTTGTGAGACTCTATCTGAACACAAAATAAAAGAACTGGACACCAGATAGAAATGCCACAAAAGTTAAATATTATAGTGGTTGCATATTTGCTCAGGTTTTTTCTCTCTTCATGGATCTGTAGTTAGTGGAAAACTTTGTGCTGTTCTGCTGCTTTTCTCTGAAAGTGACAATATGAATCAGGCAGTTTTCCTTGTAAAGATTGAGAATGCAGTTGAAGGCTGGTTTCTAGTGTGAGTTATTGGCATGTTGCTGTGGCATGGTAAAAAATTACTCCCAAAATCACACAGATGAGCAACAGCTGTTGAATTAACTGCTGTATCTTTTACTGCCTACCTGAAGGATGTTTTACTTTGGAGGAAGTATGGACATGTCTGTGCCTACAGGTATGTAGTCTTGGGAGATGTTGCAGCAGGGCTGCCAGCTTTTGTGATGCAAAGAGTGGACTTGGCAGTGAGGTTCCATGCCCAACAACAGCCTTCTCTACACACTCACCAGCACCCATCTGGCAGCCAGGAATCATAGAACCATAGAACCACAGAATCACAGAATCATAGAATCACAGAATGATGATCATAGAATGGCCTGGATTGGAGAATAGCCTTAAAGATCATCTAGTTCCAAACCCCCTGCCATGGACAGGGACATGTTTCACTAGACCGGTTTGCTCAGAACTCCATCCAAAATGGCCTTAAACACTTCCAGGGATGGGACGTTCATAACTTCTCTAGGAAATGTGTTCCAGTACCTCATCACTCTCACAGTAATCAATTTCTTCTTAATATCTAATCTACACCTTCCCTCTCTCCATTAAAAGCCATTGACCCTTCCCCTGTCACTATTTGCTCTTGTTAAAGTTTCTCCTCATCTTTCTTGTAGGTTCCCTTTAGGTACTGACAGTATAAATTAGGTCACTCTGAAGCCTTCTCTTTTCCAGGCTTAACATTTCCAACTCTCTCAGCTTTCCCCCATAGGAGAGGTGCTACATCTTTTTGGATTCACTCCAACAGTTCCACGTCCTTCCTGTGGGACGCCTTCAGCTGGGACCCCAGAGCTGGATGCAGCACTGCAGTGGGGTCTCAGCAGAGCAGAGCAGAGCAGAGCAAAGCAGAGGGACAGAATCCCTCCCCTTGCCCTGCCGGCCATGCTGCTTTGGATGCAGCCACGTTTGGCTTTGTGGGCTGCAGATGCACATTGCTGGGTCGTGTCCAGCCTCTCATCCATGAGCACCCCCAAGTCCTTCCCCCCAGGGCTGTTCTCCATCAGTTCATCCCCCAGCCTGCACTGATACCAGGGGTTGCCCCAACCCAGGAGCAGCACCTTGCACTTGGTCTTGTTAAACTTCACGAGATTCTCATGGGCCCACTTCTCCAGCCTGTCCAGGTAGCTCGGGATGGCATCCCATCCTTCAGGTGTGTCATCCACAGCACTCAACTTGGTGTCACCTGTGAATTTTTTGAGCATATGCTGGATCCTTCTATCTGTGTCAAAAATGGACATTAAAAAAAAATAAAGGAAAAAAAATAAAATAAAAAAAAGAAGGAGGCCAACCACATCCTGGTCTGCAGCATGAAAAGCACAGTCAGATCTTATCTCCCTGCATGTACTTCATGAGAGGCAGCAGAAAAATAAGGATGTGTATGGTTACCACAGGTGACTAGATGTGGGACAAGACGCAATGGATATAAGATGCAGCATGGGAAATTCCAGTTGGATGTTAGGGAAAAAAATCTACTGTATGAGAACAGTCAAACTTTAGGACTAGAGCCTGCAGATGATGTGGCCTCAATTTTTTGAGCTATTCAAACACTGCTGGTCCAGGCACTGAGCAACCTGACATAAGCCAGCCCTGTTTTGACTGCCTGGTTACAAGAGATGACCTCCAGAAATCCATATCCTATATCCTAAGACTATGCAAATAGATCAGTCTTGAAAAAAAAAAAACAACTAAAACTACATTCCCATTGAAAGTGTGAACTTTGCTTCTCAAAAAATCAAATTCTCAGGAATATTTAATGCTCTATATAACTGCTGAGGATGAGCAGCTTCTTAAAAACCCATAGGTGCTTTTTGCTTGAGACAAAAGTTACTGGGTTTCACAACTCCATGTGAGATCTTTTTTTTTTTGAAACCTTCCTTCCACTTATTGAAAAGCAAAATATAGCCTACAGATTAAAGCATGAGACACATTAGGTGAGAAGTAGTCTAATTCTGACTCAGTAGCAGCCTTGTTAAGTAACTTTGAAGAAAATGTCTGAAGGCTTTCATGCCTTTCATAGCATGCAATATAGGACTACCAGGCTATTACACAGAAGAGACAAATTCAACACTGTTTTTAATTTTTGCATTTGGGTGTCATGGAAAATATTGCTGTACATTTTATTTGAGAAAAGTTATTACTATATATTTTTAACATTAAATTGGCCATAATTTTTAAATGGCAGATCACTACAAGTATTTCTAAGCTTAACTGGTTATTGGAAAAACAGTTTATTTATTAAACCTTGAAAAGAGCAGTTAGACAGTGTTAGAGAAAGTATTATATTTTCTACAACTACTGCTTTTTATCTTCTGGAATCTTAACAAGGGGATAGGACAAAACATTTAATGAGCTTTTGGATTTAAAATCCCCAAGCACATGCCCTTAATTTGGAAGAAAGAGAACATCCTTATTCTGAACACTGTTATTATTCATACTGAGCTCCTGGGAATGCAACATCAAGATTTTGAAATATGAGTTTGTCCTACCCTGCTACTTGTTGCATGGCCAGGTTTTGTAGCTATTCTGCTATATCACTGACAGAGAATGACTTTTTGAAATTAAATGGGGTCAAGGAATAATTGCAGCTTCGCGAGTACCTGTGTTTCTCTGACAGATTTCTGGTAGCAGATGTATGAAATGGCTACAATTAAGAATAGAGCCAACAGTGTATTATAAAGATGATCATGATATCTCATAGCAAATTCACCCCACATCCTTCTTCTTTTCACATGCTTCATTCTCTTTGTCTATAAAATGTTTGAGTCAGTACTTTTCAATTATAAAACAATTGCAGTATACAAAATGCATATGCAAAGTGCATGTTTACGTCTCTCTGGAAGACTACTTTTTGATAAAGAGATAGAAGCATTTCAGAAGTACCAGAACATTTTCAGCTTTTCAGGATGCCCACCTTCAGGGTTGCTACAGATATTTTATCACTGTATCCTGAGGAAAGTTCCTTCAAGGGCTGTCAGATCTCCTCTTAGATGTTATCTGAGCAACTGAGAAAATCCCGTTGAGAGGCTGAGTGGCCTTCATACCACAGAAGAGAGATACTTATGCCTATATATACATCCAGAAACACATACTCTCATGTGTTATCTTCACTTTCACTATAATTATTCCTCTTCCTTTCACCTGTAGCCACTTACAGGAAAATGCATTTTGCAATAACTGAAAATATTTATCATATATTGAAGAGAACAAAACACATCTTCATCAATGAACTTGTTGAGTGAGGTGATAACAACTGGTCCGGTCCTGTCTGTCAGCTGTTTGTGGTTGACGAGCAACGGGTGGCACTTCAGGAAGCAGACAGAGCTGGGTTGCAGTAGCAGTTCCTCAGCAGCGCTTCTCTGCAAAGTCCAGGAGTCACAGGCAGTGAGGAGAGTGTCCTGCTATGCTGCTGGAGAGTGGCTGGGTAAGTGCTGCAAAAGTCCTCAGCAGAGGTACTGAGGTACTGGAGACAGACCAGGAGGAGGGAATTACTATTAAACTCAAATGAGAAGGCTGCAGGTCTGGATGGAGCTTAACGGTTCCTGTTGGGAGGTAAGGTTACAGCAGAGCTGGGGGAAACATGACAGGAGAGAAGTTAAAAGTACTTTGTGTTCTTAGTCCACTGCAGCAGCTGCAAATGTCATATTTTATTAAATCAGTGGAAGTAAAGTGGTAGTTAAAAGTGTACTTTGGGAATATTATTGCAGAAAGGGCTGCTGGTCTCCTTTTACAATAGCATCCACAATTTCATAATCCTTTCTGAAATTTATTAAAAGAAAAGAAGAAAGTGTTATTGGTTTTGCCAATTAATCTTTGAACAAAAAGTAAGAAGGAAATTTTCATAATGATTACACTGGTTCCTCATTGGCTCCAGTACTTTTCATTATGAGTAAATTTTTCAGAATCATCTCAGATGCTGATCATCTCAAGTCACCCTCATAAAAGCTTGCCATATCTGCCTTCACTTTGGCACTTTTAGACACCACCCCTGATGCTCTCAGGCACTCACACAGCTCAGCAATGAAATGAAACCTCATGATGGGCCACAGCAGCAAGAGCCCAGCCAGCAGGTCAAGGATTACAGCTGTCAAGTCAAGAATGTGATTATTCCACTCCATTTACTACCTGTTAGGCCACACCTGGGATGTGGTGTCCAGATTCTCTCTTCCTTGTCCAAGACAGACATTGAAAAATTCAGAGTAGCATAATTTCCCCTGCTGGAAATATTCAAAGCTCAGTTTGATGGTACCCTGGATACTTCAGTCTATAGCCCTGCTTTCAACAGGAGGTTTGACAGTAAAATCTCTCGAGGTGCCTGCCAGCCTGGATCTTTTTAAGATTCAACAGTCACAATCCACACAGACTGCGATATGCCTGTTACTTTCTGCAAAGTCATGCAGAGGTACCAAAACTGGCTCTGGAGGAGCTAATTGAAGTGCTGAAGCCTCCTAAGCCTGAGAAAAAGGGATAAATTTGATGAGGGAGTGTCACTCCAACACAGATTTATCATCAACTACCTATTTAAAGGTAGCTTAGATATTTCGACCCAGCATTATGTTCTGAATTGCAGACATACCTCAGGCTCACATGGCAACCTGCATATCTTCTATATTCAATGCTGTACAAAAAGACTCCCTGAATTCTACCATTTTACCCCTAAAAAAAAAGTGTGCAGGCTGCTTCTGAATCTGAAACAAAAAAACAGTCCAGGGGAAAAATACTTCAGAAAAGTATAATATAGTGCTAGAACCCCTCACCAATTTAATGAACCTCTTCCTAGCTTAGAACTGATCTCTGTTGCACAGGTGAAATTAAGTTCATGTGGGGATAATCTTAGGTGTGGGCATGGAATGAGGTCAGACACCCACTCACATGGATTGTGGAAAAAATCTGAAAGTTGAGACAGTTTTTGATACAGAATCAATTATCTTATTGCAATCTCACTGAACAAACTGAAATCTTTCCTCTTCAGGTAAAACAAGGGGAAAAGAATTTTAACCAAAATAAGAGACATAAGGAAAATCTGGAGTGGATACAAAACAGGCATTGCTTTATCTGCACTAGAGGTACTTAGTAGTAAATGGTGAGCTCTCTCATCATGAGGTTTGTAGAAATCATCGAATCACTTTCTTTGATGATGCTGATTTGATGGTGCAGAGAGAAAAAGGCAGGAATGGAAAATGCTGCACAGTGAGATGATGCTTCTCATTTTCATCTCAGCTGCACAATTAAACACATTAACTGCCTGCTTTATTTTCTTAAAGTCTCCAAATTCTCACCATTGCCAATATCAACAGGAAAGCTATCTTGGGGAAAGCTTTTCTGTGAAGACGTACTTGAACTAGTGCTTAATGTGCTAACTTGAGAACCAGAAGCAATGGGGCTGAAGAGGCATGTTGCTGCGGCCAGTCTAACCTCTCCTGTTGAGAAGACAAAGGCCAGATCACTGCCCACCTGTGGCTGATTTGCTTTGGGATCAGAACTCATATCTGCAGTTGCCCACCTCGCCAGGCACCCATCCAAGCCTCTCTATCACTGCTCTCTGCAACTGAACAGGGGAGAGAAAATATAAAAGAGGGTTCATGGATTGAGATAAGGACCAGGAGAGATGTCTCACCAAATATAGTCATGAGCAGAACAGACTCAGCTTGGGGATATTAACAGAATTTATTGCTAACAAAATCAGCAGGACAATGAGAAGTAAAAGCAGACCTGGAAAACACCCTCCTTCTCAGCTCTACTTCCTCCTCCAGTCCAGTGGCAGGGGGAGATGGGGCATAGTGGTGTGATCAGTTCAGCACACATTGTTTCTTTCCCTGCTCTGATGTGGGGGTCTTTTCCCTGGGAGTTGGTACTCCATGAATTTCTCCATTATGAGTCCATCCCATAGGCAACAGTTCTTCACAAATTACTGCAACATAGGTCATCCTTCCCTAGGTGCAGTCCTCAATGGACACCCTGCTCCAGCTTGTGTTCCCCATGTAGTCTCAAGTCCTAGCAGGAGACCTCCTCCGGTGTGTGCTCCTCTCTCCATGGGTCCGTAGGTCCCTGCCAGGAGCCTGTTCCAGCACAGACCTCCCTCAGGTTCACAGCCTCTTTTGGGCATTGAACTGCTCCAGCATGGGTCTTCTTCAAGGGATACAGGTGGATCTCTGCATCCCTGTGATCCCTCATTGGCTGCAGGGGCACAGCTGCTTCACCATGGACTTCACCACGGGCTGCAGAGGAACCTCAGCTCCAGTGCCTGGAGCACCTCCTCCCCCTCCTTCTTCACTGACATTGGTGTCTGCAGAGCTGCTCTTCTCACATGTTCCCACCCCACTCTTCTCTGGCTCCTTCTCCTTCTTCTCCTTCTCCTTGTCCATCTTTTTCATCTTCTTCATCTTCATCTGCTTCTTCATGTTATCACAGAGGCATTATGCTCATTTCCAGCTGGCCCAGTCTTGGCCAGTGGCACATCCATCCTGCAGCTGGCTGGTATTGTCTCTGGCAGACTTAGAGGAAGCTTCTGGTACCTTCTCCCAGAAGTCACTCTGGCAGCTACCAGGACCTGGCCATGCTACCCAATATATCAGGGTTTGTACACATCCTACACTGTTCCCCAGCTACCAAGACCTGGCCATGCAAACCCAGTACATCGGGGTTTGTACACATCCTACACTATTCATTTTGTACCAGCTTATGTTGGTGCTATTTGGGTCTTCTCTCCACCATGCTTCACTGCTACATGTAGACTAGTTTTATTTTACCTTTTCATCTATCATGTGGGGCTCATAATATCATAAAGGAATGTCCTGTCAGTCCATCTTCAGCTGCTGCTTCATTAGAGATACAGTGAATAATATAAAATATTGGGCTCTTATGCTTTCCAGTGATAAAGAAGACATACATGGCCTGGATGAAATGAAAAGAAGGAAGATAGAAAGGGAAGCTGTTTCATAACTTATTGTTTTCAGATCTGTTTTTCTGCAGAGAGGTCTAAAGAACAGCCAAGTACAGGGGCCCAGTGCAACACCACAGCACAGGGCACTCCAAAACTTGAATAAGAATATTTGGGCTGGCAAAACATCATTAAGACCACAGCATGGCCCAAGATTTTCTGCAGACTCCTGTGTCAATGAAATGGGGAGAAAATATATTAGGAGGACAGTGGGACAAAGGGCAGGTGTGGGTATTCTTCCACAGCCCAGAATAGCAGTACTTACCATAAGTGTTTCTACACCTGTGGCTGGGCTATGTAGCTGCCTTTTTAAATATTTCAGCTGAACTTCAAATAGCCAAAGTTTTAAAAAATGCATCATAATGAGCTTATTGACAGCACAATTGCCTTCAGGCTTTGGCATGTGCACTGTAGCTCTTACTTTAACGCAGTTAAAGTTGTCATTTGTATCATAAAGTAATCATTGCTTATCATTCGCTCAGAATGGAAACTCCCAGATTTAACAGCAAAATGAACCATTTCAGCCCAAACAATTTGATGTAAGAGAGCACTTGCATGCACACAGCACCTCAGTATAATAAGCAGAGTGTAGGTGTGCTGATCAAGGAAAGGCTCTTGCAAACCAGTGTACTTTGAGAATGCAGCATGGAAAAATGCCCTTGAAGTACATTCCTTCTTTCTGTAATGACAGGAAGAACCTGAATTCCTCCCTAACCCAACTGTAACAGAAACATCATGTATTTAATTGTGGCTATGCTGAGGTAGAAAATCATTATCAATCAGCGTTGGCAGCAAGCTTTGCTTTCTGTACTGCTCCTAGGCAGTAGGAGCTTAGACTAATTCAGGGAGGTTTGTTCTTCAGACAACACACTTCAGCATACTAAATTTCACAAATATCTGTATGTGTACATTCAGCATGAAAGTGATCTTTGGTAAATGATTTTTCCATGCACCTGATGATAGAGTTTGCATTACCTCTGCAGTCAGAAGTCAGATGAAATAAGCAATCTGGGAATAAAACAGTATTAGTGGTTGCAGTACACATTTTGAGGGTGAGTAGCAATAGGCTTGTGCTGAAATCCTTTAAAAAAATATATTCTTCCTTACAGCATGCCGCCTAACCCAGCAGGCAATTAGTGAGACTAGTACCAAGTTCAAAAATATTTTAGGATGAGCACTGTCTTTTCAAGATGAAGGGAAGGATGTTTTTTCTTCCCAGAGAGGCATATATGCTTGTAGAATTGGCATGGTGCTGCATATATTATTTCTTTCTTTGCAGTCTAATGTCATCTTTAGGGTAGGAGTAATGCATCTCCTTGTCAATCATCTCCTCCTTCCATTTATTTTCACCCTGGTGAGAACAAGCTCCCACAATGAGTGAATAGTTGTGCTGGATTCCTGATGAAAGGCACATCCCCTGAAAAACTTACTGGCTTGCAACAGGTACAAACTAGTAAAATCCTTCAAAAAAAACCCCAGTAATATTAAAGTTGGTGACAGACTATTAGTAGTGTGCTGCTGTTAAATATAAGACACCTTCTCAAAATGTCCATTTAGACTGGAGACTGAGCAGATACCTTTTGTATGCAGTTCTGATTCCTCCTGCTGCCCTTGGTGACAAACATTGAGGCCAAAGCAGAACCCAATATAAAAGAGAAGGTATGGCAAAAGTTGGGCAAATTGCTAGTATTATTAGTATTAGAACAGTTTGTTTCTAGATCTGGGATCCCTCCCACACAATCAAAGAAGAATGTGATGTGAACTTAAGTCTTGGTTTGTTTTCAGTACTTTTCTGAAAGATCTGGATTCTAGTAAGACCTAAACAGAAATTTGAGGAAGTTTTATTAATATGCTATACTTCAGCATGGTGCAATTTTGGCATTTCTGCAGGAGGAAAAGGTAGTGAGATAGGCTGAGGGGAAAACAAATTTTCTCCATGCCACTTTTCCTCAGGTACATTTAAGCAAATTTGAGTAATAATGCCCAGGTATAATAACTTGCAAAGTTGGTATTTTTTCCCCTAAATCAGTTAAAGTACTAGGAGGAGGCCACCAGATGCATTTCCACTTTTCAGAGGAGCTTAAATTTACGGCTCTGCTATGCAAAGGTGTGTGGAACAAGGAATTTCAAGTCACATTTACTCCCTGTACTTTTCCAAAATGTTCTTTCAGATGTGTCACAGACAATATTTCTCGTTCACAGGACACCTTGCACTGCCTGGGTGACAGCCACAAATCACAAACGATCCAGAACCCAGAGAGAGACATTTTGAGAAACCTATTATCTATAAAATGTTTTTGGCTGATACTGATACTGAATGTTTTTCCCTTTATAGGTAATTAATATCTTTCTATTCAGGTGCTTGAAATATTAAAGCACAGTAGAAATACAAGTCAAAAATAGGATTTTGTTGGTAACAGGTAAAAGCTACTCTAATTACATAGTGCCTTTCTGTTCTTCATGTTAGCAGCTGATCTTTTACTTAATAATGAACTTTAAAAAACCTATCACAATTGCAACTTAACAACTGATCAGCCAGTGCTACCTACTAGCCCCAGGCCCACAGCTGGCACTAGAAGGGACTCTGAGCAGATCAAAAAGCAGGCTTTTTGTGAGGAGTACAAATCAGTATGAATTATGTCCTCCCTGATTCTGTGCAGTCCACATCAGTTCAGTGTTGTCAGGACCATCACTCAGGCTCTACTCACAACTAAGAGCCAGCTTACACACAGTCAATTTAAGGTGTACAGGTGGATCTTATTTTTTGCTTTCTGCCACTTAAACAAGTGAAGGAGAAGAATATTTTTGTAGAAGACCCAACCATCATGCTTGCATAGCTCCAGCTACCCTATGTAGTCCTCTTCTGAATTAGCATTTCAAATCGTTGAGTCCTGGCAAAATAAATGCAGACAAACAAAATACCTGTGTTGCCATGGTTATTCTGTGTACAACTTTTAGTTTGGAACAGCTGAAAAGTCACTAACAGCATCTATTCTGCCTGAGCATAAAGGGCACGGTTCTCTTTCCTCAAGGACCTCTCAAAATCCAGAGTAGAGGTACCTTGATGCTAATCAGCCTCAGGACAAGCAGTCCTTGAGATTTGGCCCAGCCTGTCATCTCTTATTAAACAACTTTGGCCCTTGAAACTGTTGCTTTAATGCAAACTCAAACTAGGTGATGGTGAATCCACATGATACAACAGTACTATGAAAACACACTATCACGCTTCTAGATTTTTATGGTATTGCTAAAACTACCAGCAATTACTCAAAACTTGTAAAATACATGCATTTCTAGTATCAGTGTTTAAAACCTGTGCTGCTCTAAAATAATCACATTCTGCCACCAACTCAGTGCATTACAGCTGAAAATCTAAACATACCAGTCTGGAATCCATTAGACATGCTGTTGGTAAATCCCGGGGGAAAATTGCATCAATTTAGCAGGGAAAATTAATTGCAATTATGTCCATTAAGCATTCTATACCTATCTAGATCTTGATGCTAACTACAAATTAGAGACCGACAAAGGCAATGAGGGTGTCTGTCCCAGATCATACTCTGGTATTTCACGATTTGGTTTAATCCTGGATTAAAGGATTAAAGATTTGCCAACTACAAACATGTGGAAAGAATTCAACCTGAAAAACTCTTTTTTGTTTTGACTGCTTGAGGAAACAACATTGTTACTTTTCAACAAAATGATATAACTTGTATCTTATATAATTATTATATTGCATCAAAAATATATAGCAATATACAGCATTAAAAGATTACTTATGTTTTAACTTATACTTAACTAGGTGTAACTTATTTTATGTATCAAAAATATTGTATAATTTAAAAACCAACATACAGAAGCTACCTGAATGTTTTAAAGATACCTTAACTTTCTTTCCGCTGGGAGGTATTCACTCTAAAAAAGACCTAGAAGGAGCCAAGACAAAATTACTAACTTGAGAAGGCACAAGTCTTTATTCAAGGATATTCAGCTTTAGGTCTGGCTTTGCCATGGAATTTTTAGCTTTTTATCTGTATGCCTTTCAACAGATCTTTGAGACCAGCTTCTTTTAATATCATCTAAGCAGTTCTTTAGCTGTCAGGCACTGTTAAAATTGCAAAATGCAAAAAGACAATTTCCATCACATAGCAGTCTGTTGTGAAGCAGCACAGAGCAGGACTTCCCTTGTGATTTTTTTAACCAAATGTGAAGCAACAGGATGCAGTCAGTTAAAACATTCTCCTGTGAGGTTACATTTAAAGTTGTATGTCTATGCTGTTGCTTTCAAAACAAGTACGCTCAAATATAACCGTGTGTTCTGACAGAAATGTGTTAAGCCAGCAGGAGGGCAAAACTGACCTTGCACAGACTCCTTACAGAGACTCAGTCCTGCAGCGAGACATCTTTTACCACACATACACCTCACACAACCATCATTGCTCCATGAGCCTTTGGCACTGGTATGGCTAATCACTTTTTAAATTAAGTCTCCTAGTTTAAATTAAGTCTCCACCTGCCACAGCTGGCACTGTGCAGGTGGAGTGATGGCACCATGTCCTGAGATCCAGACACTGAGCTAAAATCTTGGCAGAAAGCAGAGCTGAGAAATGGTGCTGGGCTGTAGACTGAGCTTTGTTGCATCCCTCACACTTAGGTGTCTCTGACCACATCCAAACCCACACTTAGTCAGCTACAATCTAGATCATATTTTGCTCTTGTCTTGCCCTGTTTTCTCAAAACACACCTTCAAATCATCCCCTCCACTCTGCGGAACCACCCTTCCAAACATATGTCTTCCTGAACTGTGAGGTTCACTTCTGTGTGTATAATTTATCATTTTAGGCAGTAGTATAAAGCCCTGTACAGAAATGGGAGGCTTTGAAGGCCTCTAATGGCTAAGAAGTAGCTGCAAGGTAAGGGATGCTGTGATACAACTAAAAATCTTCCCAAGGTTGTGTGCCATGGGCAGGCCTATCCTCACACAGCGCAGCTTCAAGGTTATTGTTTTGTCATAAGCTCAAAGAAGGAAGCAAGGCAATGACTCTTTAAAGTATCAGGTCTCTTGCTTTTTGTTCTTAGAGTTTACAAAGAATGAAGATCCAAGTAAACAACACTTGAAGAGTGGAGAGAAACTAACCTGTAAGTATACACAGAATGAAAAAAAAAGCCTCGGTTTGCAAAGTAAATGAATGCTTGCAAGTTCAGGAGGGGGGAGAAGCATTCAGTTGTCTATTTGTTTTATTTTCAACCCACTTTCTGCACAAATATTTTCGCACTGTGTTTGGTAATTTCCTAGTAAGGGACAGCATTGCTTCATTCTTTCCCATATTGCTACCCTGTAGTTTTACACTGTCTCCTAAAACTGGGAGGCAGTGCATTTTGTTTTCATCCATCTTCTGTGTGTGTGTTTGATATCACCCAGTCTCTGTAAGGACAAGAAGGGTTTGTTTTCTCTGTTAAGATACAGCTAAGGAGGTAAATAATCCTTTTTAGGAACATTTCATGGTTTCCATTTTTTGTGTAAAAATAGTGACAATCTCAAATGAAACAGGACTAACTTAACATGTTTTTCCATCCCATTTGTTCTCCAATGGACTGAATTAAAACCACAAAATATCGGTATAATGTTGACACTGCCTGCAAGACATGAACTGTTGAGCTACCAAATGAGTTAGGGGAATCACGAAAAGTTGTTTGAAAAAAGTCAATGTCTAAATGTACTTGATATTTAATATTTTTTGTTAGTGTTTTCTATTAAGCAGGTTTTTATACTTCAAACTTTAGGTGTGTGTGGTTATTTTGAAATTAAAGAAATTCTGCAATTATTCTAGTAGCACAGCCTATGTTACCATAACACAGCATGGAATTAGAACAAATTGAAATGCAATTACAATGCCCTCAACAGAAAACATCTTTGAGACTAAATGAGGATTCTGTGAAACAGATGCAGATTTTAAACAGACTTTTGTTAAAAATTATTTGTATTTTGCACTTCCAACCTAGTCTAGTTCAGTGTAGGAATGTCAGTTCTGACAAACACTCATTTTTCAATTTATTAATGCTGTCAAAAATAGAAATCTTTCATATGAGTTGAATTTTTTTCTCCTCCAAATTCAAATGAAACTTCTCAGTTGGGTGCATGCAGACAGCAAATGCTTCTCCTGCAGAACCCAACTGTCAGAACACATGAAAATCTGTGTGAAGCCTGCCAGTCTCTCAGCAGACGTGTATAGGGGATAAATTTTGCAAACACTTGTTATACAGAGTAGAGCTCACTGTTTGACAGAGATTGTAAGAGTGCCATCATTTCTGACAAATGAGTGGTTTTTTTAATAAGTTGATATAATGTTGATGTAACATAATGGTGACTCATGGACTTGGTTGGGAAAATAGCATGGATGAAGGGAACAAGACAGTGACAGGCTGATCTGGATTGCTAAATCAGGCACAAACTAGAATAAGCATTTTACCCCTGCGAAATGCAAAGTTGTTCGTCTAAGAACCAAGTACAAGTGTAAAGGCAGTTCACTCAGGAGCCACAGGTATGGCTGGGATCAAGGGAGAATAAGACTCCTCTGTCTCATATCAGGTATCTACAGGGGAAGGAAAAATTAAACCAAAAAATTTTTAAATCTGAATACAGAGGCACAAGCGCATCTAATACCTGGAAGCTGAGGTTGTACAAATTCTGTCCAGAAGTATGGTTAATCTTTTTTTTTCCTTCTTTTACTTTTTTTGTTTTTAAATAGTAAGATAGATAACTGTAAGATAAAAGAGAAACAAGTTCCTCAAAGTTGGAATGAATATTTCTTACCTGGAAAATTTTTGACAGAGATCAAATTGTTTTCAGAAATCATAGAATCACACAATGATTTGGGAGGAAAGAGGCCTTCAAGATCATTAGTTCCAACAGACCTGCTATGGGAAGAGACATGTTCAACTAGACCAGGTTGCTCAAATCCCCATCCAACCTGACCTTGAATACAGACAGGAACTGAGCACTCTGGGTTTTTCTGTCCTGAGGAGAGCAGTCCAGGGAAATCTCATAGATTGTGCTGCACAGACAGTCACATGAAATGAGTGTGATGGCATTATCCACACTGACAACTGACAAATCTTGAATGCACAAGAATCTTTTTGCTGATCACATTTCTGAAAGAAATTAGCCTCTGGCCTGTTGGCAACCTACCTCCTTTGTCAGACTAAACCAGCTATTTTTGCAGTTGTCCCCCAGCCCTTGGCATCAGCAGCTGCTGTGGCATCCAAATGAAGTGGAGCCCACTATTGCCTTGTGGCTGTTCAAGGCTCATGTCCAGCAGAAGTTCAGCCCAGTCATGAGAGGCTTAACCCAGAGGAAGACCAAACCTGGCTCCAAGACTTGAGCAATATCACTGAACTGGCAGTTGCTAGAGGGTGTAGGAAGGCACAGAAACAAGAACAGCTGTGTTGTATGAGGTCCACATTAATTCTTTTTCCATGCGCCTCCTGCTGAATTCTGGCAAAGGGACTTGTAAGTTGCATTTCAGGTCAGTAGGTTATAGCTTTGTGAATGTCAGTATGACAGGAAACCTCACTTTGCCAGAAAGCAGCATTTCGTCTGTGAAACATGCCCTGTGTTATGTTACACTCAGTATTCATCACGCAATGATATTTCAGTGGGGTGCCTGGGCTACTGGGGAGCTGATAATCTCCTATCACAGCTGCTGGTAGCTCTTTTTTTTTTTTAAGATTAATGAAAATTACATCTCCTGCAGATTCTTACTATGCAGAGATTTAACGACGACTGCAGAATTCTGCAGAAACCTGCATTTCAGTGAATGTGCACTGGAATGTCTGAGTAAAATATCAGTTATCTGACTTCTGCCTATCTGTTCTTACTGCCTTCAAGTTTCACTGCTGGCCTCTGAAGGGTGACAAAAAGAGGTTCTTCCTCTCCAAGTGCAGCCTTGCTGCTGGGTCTGCTCATACCAAGCCACATTTCCAGTGTGTTGCTTTTCCCTCTGTGACACTTTTAAAAATTTAAAACTTGAAATATGCATTTTAAATCAAAACAGTGTTATAATGCCTCTTTTTAGGGACATTTTTTCAAACTGAAGTTTAGCAGCTTGGAGAAACCGATGAAGAGTTCTTGCTAATCCCTTCTGGCTTGCATGGTTGTGAGGATGAAGTGACTCAGAAACGAGAACAGAACTGGAAGGAACTTGCACCATTTCTGATGCAAGGGCTGCAGTGTGCCAATCTGCAGTGACTTTGATAAAGAACTCCTTCACAACAGCCCATTGTAATTCTCTTAATGTACGGGAATTAGTTGTCCACATAACTCTGAAATGCAAGCTCAAACACAAAAGGTCAGTAATGTCAGTAATCAACGCATCAGTTTGAGATATGGCACTTATACTGATTATAATAAGATATCTGGAGTCTTAGATGCATTGGGATAGCTAGAGAATAACTTCTGAATGTATGAAGAGACCTTGATTACTGTAAGTGCTTAGAAATATTGCTAAGAAACAACACAAAACACCTGAGGTGCATAACAGATATTCATTGCCCACTATGAACAAAAATAGTTTATAAAACTGTTATAGGCAAAACTCTTTTCCATAAAATGAGTGGACTGCTAGAAAACTTTTTCCCCTCGTAACTTTTGGCAGTTCGTGCTACCTAAAAAAATGAAAATAAAGCTGAAAACATCACTCATACAAAGACATTAAGGAACTACTTTCTGAAGTGTAAAGCATTTGAATATTAAATGAAAAATCACAAAATCTCAGGAGAAAACTCCTTCTTGCATTGTGGGATTCACTGGTAAAATGGATGACTTACCAGAGTCAGTTTTAAATCACAGTTCAGGCAGCAGTAGCAGTACAGCTGTGATAGTATGGAGCCCAACACTGTTCAGTTTTCCCTGCTTCTTTTCTGTAACTGTAATGAGAACATCCCCTGGACATTTTTACAGATGCAGATATGTTTCAGGATAACACCCTACCTGAACTCTTCCCTTCCTATATGATCTTGTAGTACTAAAAATCCTAACAGGGGCTGCATTTAGATTTATAATAATTATTTCTAATCTCTTTTTTAGACAGTAATATATTAAAAATGTATAGCACACTTTTTAAACTTGTTATTAACTTGCATCTAGCTTCTGCTTTGGTCAGACAGGATGATTTACACTCACCCAGGATGTCCTTTCCTAATGTATTTTAGCAGCCCATTTTGTAACACCCAGTTACTACATGTAAGGTTTGAAATGGCTCTGAGAATCAGGACACTACTGCCCACGTTTCTTGGCCTGGCAGGATCTAAGCAGGATTTCCACGGAGTCTGGGTATCCATGGTGTTTAATCCCTTGCTCAGAGAAACTGTCCGTGGAGAAGAAGTTGACTGTAATGTGTTCAAAACTCAGCTCTCAGTAACAAACAGAATTTGTATCTTAGATAGAACAACATATGGTTGTTATCTGGCCCCAGGAAGGACAGATTTGTGCTGCAAGTAAACAAATTGATGAATGAGTAGCAGAATTAAAACAATATCTCTGACCTTTACTGTAAAAGCATACAGATACTCAGGAGAGAGGAGAAAAAATAACACAGCATAAAACCAGCACAATGATGGATCTCTAAGGATCTCTAAGGATCATTTCTCCCCATATATTATTGATTCATGCTTGTTTTTAGGAGTATGGCTGGAAATGTCTTAAGGACTAGAGCAGTTCTCTGCCCAATGTTCTCATCCATTTTCCCTTAGGCTGGAGGATATTTGGATAAAAGTACATGTTACAGTTACTGATGCCCTCTGTGAGACTTCAGGATTATTTCTTGAGCAAGAGACAGGTGAGAAGTCCTTCTTGCTTTTTAGGTAGGCCATGTCATTCCTACCTTCTCTTAGTCTTTCTGTATTCTTCCGTTTCCAGAATATGTTCCAGGAAGATTTCAGGAACATGACTGAAGGGACCAGGAACAGCAGTGACTCCTCTTCCGCCTTCGTTCACACCAGCACCGTGAGTGCCATACTGGTCACTGTCTACTCGGTTGCCTTGGCTGGAGGCGGAATTGGGTCCATCACAATGTCCTTTGTGCTGCTCAAGATGAACACTCTGTCTGTGACCACGACTGCCATCATTAACCTGGTCGTTGTGCACAGCCTCCTCCTCTTCACGGTGCCCTTCCGCCTCCACTATTATGTCAAAAAGAAGTGGGTATTTGATATGCCGTTTTGCAAAATGGTGAGTGCCATGGTGCACATCCACATGTACCTGACCTTCATATTTTATGTGATCACCCTGGTGATCCGGTGGCTCATCTTCTTTCAGTGGAAGGACAAGGTGGAGTTCTACAGGAAGCTGCACGCCATTGGGGCGAGCGCTGCAGTGTGGCTCTTTGTCATGGTCTTTGGGGTGCCACTCTTCTACTTCGAGTATGGACGCTCAGGCTTATACAATAATACAACCTGCTTCAAGTTCCACAAAGAACTACAGCACGAGAGTGTGAAAGCCCTGAACTACACCGTAATTGTAGCTGTTGCCCTCATTTCTTGTGTACTCTTGAGCTTGCAGATTTTTATCCTGGTAAAAGTGGCGAGAAAATTTTCCACCTCCCTCTGTTCACACCAAGAATTCTGGGCCCAGGTGAAAAACTTGATTTTCATCTGGATCATCATAATTTGGTTCCTTCCCTATCACCTGTTCAGAGCCTACTACATACAGCATGTGAGTGATTTTGACCAGTTAGAAAGCTACAATGAGGTTTTTTTGAGCCTGACTGCCCTGAGCTGTCTGGACCTGCTGTCATTCGTGCTGAGTGGAAGCCGCTTCTTCAAGCAAAATGTGGGAATGCTCCACAGGAGGTTGCCTTGCTGCTAGCATCAGCATCCTGCAGCATGTGCAGGACCTGGGATAGGACAGTGATGGACAGACATGGCAAACTCACTCCTCAGCAAGTGAGGGTGTACTCTGGAAATGGTGCAACACACTTGTACAGGGCTTTGCACATCAGCTTCCTGAAGTAATGGAACAAACTGCCTCCAGGGTCCCAGCTAGTAAACAGGAAGGTGACCTCAGCAATTTCCTCATAGTTCTACCCAGTGAGTTGTGGATGGACCTGGAGAAGAGGGAAGAAATATTATGGGCTCTTCTCTCTTACTGTTTTTACATCAAGATTTGTGAAGTCAAAGGCTCTAGGAGGAGACCTGAGAATTGCAATGCAGAAACACAAATAAGGAAGCTGGCTTATATGGACTAAGGTACAGATTTGTGAAACTTAAAGATCTATATCATTTTCCCATACATTTAATATTTATTTCCCACAAGCTCTTATAAAATATCAGGGAAGCTATTGTTCTTCCTGAGTAGGTCTGTTTCTTTACTGTTAAGCATCACTTTCTAAGTGAATTGAACTACTAAACCAGCTATTTAAAACTAAATCAGTGATAGATAGTTATTTCTTAAAATATTTTCTCAAAATCACTTTTTAAGATGGTACCACTGCAGCAGAAAAGAATATTATCTTTTTCATATTATGAAAATATGTCTTAAAAAATTATACACTATTACTGAAATGGACATTGCAAGTTCAAACAAAAACCTGTGTTATTATTCACAAAATTTTTAAATTAAAAGTAATATTTTATAGCCAGGACAAGTTTTTTTAGATCATTCAGACAGAATTTTTCTTCTCTTCAAAAGACAAATATCTTAGGTATCCAAGGTAGCAATGTTTTTTTTTGTAAATCTTATGTTGATTTTGTGCATTTATGAAGTTTATAAGTAGTTACTCACAGTGTCTTTAGCTTGAAAGCAATTCTATAAATTTTGTACCCTGCACTGATGAAAGAAATGAAAATGTTTCTGCTTGGATTGGAGGAATGGAAAAGGCTAATAGACCTAGTGTAGCTAAAAAGCATATTCTGTCTCAGTGAGGAATTGCCAGTTGCTGTCTTTGAAGACAGAAATAAATTCCACTAAAAAGGGTGAAAAATTTGGTAAAATATTTCTATGAAAGACATTGAAGCTTTCATAGCTCAGCCGATTTATACCTATCCCTAAAAAAAAATGTAAGTCTTGACTTCTCTAATGCAAGCCATCAATGACTAATACATCTTTATTTTTCTTGCCATCTGCATAAGGTCACATTTTTTCATCCAGAGTTAGTGGGATAATAATTTAATCATTTAACTAATTAGAGGTTATCAGCTGATCAATTTGCATGAGAGTCTTTACTCATGATGCTGTTGAAATCCACCTTTTCATCCCGTGAATCTTTCCATTCCTTTCTGCTTCACCTTCAACATCTCTTGCACATCAGACAGCAATAAAATAACAATTGGTTGATCTTGCTGTGCCTGTGCTGCTGTGCTCATTGCTTTTAGTCCCACCAAGATGTTTTTTTTTAAATGAGATCCCATCTCTTCTGTGGTCTTTCTACCTTGTCTTTCTTCCTTCTTTCTTCAAGGTCCTCTATATCTATCAGGATCTTTGATCATAAAAAGGTATTTTCAGGTCAGAGTATGAGTCATGCTGTACAACACCAAAAGGTGGAAATCACTGAAGTTCACAACACAAGTGAGGTGTTGGGCAGCTCTCATGGCTCACCCTTGGCAAACAGCCTGGACCACATCTGTTAAGAAAGAAACATGAGAGCTTGCAGTGTGTGTACCTGAGAAAAATCTGTCCAAGAAGGCATTTGTTCCCAAAGGATCACAGTAAAAAGGATGACAACTACCAGCCAGATTCAACAGTAGCTGGGGAGCAACTTTCAAAACATGGAGGGAATCAACTTGAATGTGTATCTCACTACTAGTTAACTGTGTGTCATTTAGAAAGCAATAAACTGCTATTATCCAGATTTGTTTTAAAGCTACACAAACAAATTATATTCTCCTTGTGGTGGGAGAGGATAGAAATTGGCATAACATTTTTGTTTGCTCCCGTAGCAACGTGGTTGGTTAAAGAAAATGCCTTGCGTGCATTCTGTGGGCATTGCATAGCTTTGTAACATCATATTATAACCCTTCTACTATAATAAAGTTATTAACAAACAAAATGACTATGTGCTGAAAAAGTAAAGTCCCTCCTAGAAAAATGCACATAAATTAGAAGTATTTTATATCTGCATTTGGAATGAAACATAAACATGATTTTAAAAACAGTATCTCCCAACTATACTGACCAACAAATCTTGTTAGTCCGTGTTAAAATCACAAGTAATTTAATTCCTGTAAAAATGCAAACTTTCACAGTAGCCTGCCCCATAGCATCACAAAAAATAGTAATGACTTTTTTCCCCCAATAAAATTTGTTGCTAATGATGTTAATACTAAATCAGCATGATAACAAGCTAATTAGGAGGTCCAATAATCACATGATTTAAGATGGTGGTGTTATCCAGCACCAAGTCATGCCTTTTATGGGTCTGTCTATGCAAACTTTATGTCTACACAAACTTTATGTCTACCACTTATCTTGCTTTGTGAGAGTCAGTGTCTGGCAAAGAAAGCCCTCCCCTGCCCTGAGAGAATGATCTCCCTTAATTGTGCCAGGACTTGACCACTGTAGGAGAAGGGGAATTTCCAGTTACCTTCATCTGCTTGGTCAGAGGCACCACAGTCATTAAGGTGATCCTTTTTATTTTGCTGACTAAATGACAGAGGATAGTACTAGGATAGGAAACAATCATGAACACAAACACACTATTACAGAAGGACATAGAGGGAATAGAATCTGAAGAACAGGACTGGGAATGAGGAGAAGAGAGCAGAATATCAGCATACTTCTGCCACACAGCCACAAGGTAAGGTGGCTGTGTCTCTAGCCTTCATCTCAGGTTATTTATTTAATCCTTTAAGTTGATAAAAAGTGGGAATCTCACTGATGGGAGCAAGCTTGCCCTCAGCCACTCCTTGTTCCCACTCCTGCATTGTTCTTTCCATATGGCTGGAATTTGCCTCCTGAATGTCTTTCAGCTGCATCAGTTTCCTCTCTAGCTCACCAGGGAATCATGGAAAATCAAGTCAAGGCAAGGACAAATACAGCAAAGACTGCATTTTGCAACAATCCTGACTTGAGGATTTTATCAGACTGTAATCCTGTCTAATTCCCCTTAGCTTACAGATCTTTTCTTTCCAGGCAGTTTCCCACAGTCTATGTCACCTGACATTTCCATTTCCATGTATTGCCAATAACCAGGGTGCCTTAGACTAAAAGTACTGTTGAGGAAGAAGGTACCTCCATAGCTGCAGGCGAAGAAAGAGAGTTTGGAGGCTTCAGGCACTTTATGCTTTCTCCAGGGATAGAGAGAGATGGGCATGAAAAACCCTGAAGGCAGCAGAAGCAGCAGTTTCTGAACAAAAGCCACCACAGAACTGCAGAATTGGACATTTCTGACCCATAAAGTCACTCATTTCTGCTGTTTTCAGAGAAATAGGACTTGGCATGCATTTTCCCTGTAAGCAAACCCTATGGCTAGGACTTGACTGGAAACAAGGGCCGGTTTCAAAAGTCAAGGGGTCATTAATATCAATGACTTCCCAGACAAAAATTTCAGAAAATCTAACTAAACTTTCTGACATTCAGTGAAGTAATTTTCCTCACTTGCGAACAGCTGCTTAATAAACAAAATTTTTTGCTGAATAGAGAAATACCCATAAAGATAATATACAGTGTCCATTCCCTAGAGGCTAACTATAAGTAATATATAATCCTCTTTTCTCCGATGAGGCAGCAGACATGCCAGCTGGCTGCTTTCACCCTCAACCAGTAACTTCCCTCTTTCCTAGCAATGCTTCCAGTTTGGGAGTGCCAGGCTGGTTTTGCTCATCAGCTCTTCCAGCTGTGCCCTCAAGGAACTCTGTGTCACTCACCTGTGGCTGGGGCTCAGAATCACAAAATCAAAGACTGGGTAAGGTAGGAAAGGCCCACAGTGGGTCATCTGACTCATCATCCCTGCTCAAGCAGAGTCATCCTAGAGGACATAACACAGGATTGTATCCAGATGGTTCTGGATATTTCCAGTAAGACAGACTCCAGAACCTCTCTGGGTAATCTATTCCAGTGCATGGCCACAGCAAGTGAAGAAGTTCCTCTTCATATTCAGATGGAATTTCCTGTGCATCTATTTCTGCCCATTGCCTCGTGTCCTCGTTCGTGGCACCACTGAGAAGAGCCTGGCTCCATTCTGTTGGCACCTTCCCTTCAGATGAGAAATTGATGAGGCTCCTTTCAAACATCACTTCTCAGGCTGAACAAACCCAGCTCTCTCAGCTTGGCTTCACAAGGGAGAGACTCCAGCAGAACTGCAGAGGTGCTCATCCTCGTAGCCCTTCACCCGACCTGCTCCGGAACTCCACGTCTCTCTTGTACCAAAGAACCCAGAACTGGACATGGCACTCCAGGTGTGGCCTTACCAGGGCTGAGTAGAGGGGCAGGATCACCTGACCTGCTGGCAAAGCTCTTCCTAATGCACCCCAGGATACCACTGTCCTTCTTGGCCACAGGGGCACTGCAGCCTCATGGACACCCAAGTCCTCCAGGACCTTTTCTGCAGAGCTGCTTTCCATCAGGTTGACCCCCAGCCTGTGCTGGTGCAGGGGGTTATTTTTCCCCAGGTGCAGGACCCTGCATTTTCCTTGGTTGAACTTCGGACCTGTAGGCTCACATGACTCAAGTCTTTCTAATGGAAATGGTGCCAGTGCCATAGCTGGGATGGGTAATGCCCAGCCAGCTGTGGGCTCAGTTACCAAATCTAGAGGCAACCCCACCCATAGCAGGGTCATAGTCAGGAAGGGACACAATGCCAATACCAACAACAGAGGCAAGAAAGACATTGGCAGAGAAATTTGATAGCATCCTCAAATGCTTCGTCTGAACCTGTAGGAAGACCTGATTTGTGCTCAAGAGGGAACACACACCAAGGGAAGGACTCATGGAAAAGAGCTCAGAGACCGTGCTCTGCTTTAGAGTTCTGCAGCATGGAGAAACATAACAGCCAGCCCATGGTTGAGGGGGAGGCATACCCTAATGGAATGGTGGCACCACGATCTCTAACAACAGCATGTACGAACTGCACATTGGACTTTGTCTTCCCAGTACTTTTCCTCAGTGGAGCAAGAGCTCACAGAAACTTCACTAATAAAATAACTACAAAAATGTGAGAGAAAATAGGAAAGGGCAGGCTGTGTCTGCATTAATGGGAAAACATGATGGACAACCTTCAATCATACCCTTGTAAAGGAGTGTCTCATGTGTCTGGAGGCTGCACAGAGAGAAATACAAATGGATGCAAATTCCACATACATGGAGACAGACCACAGTCCCTGTCCTCTGCTACAGAATGAGCAGCTGAAGGAGAAACTTCTCAAGACATGAAATGTGTCTGTACACTAGAAAGAGCATCACAAAGTTTTACATAGGGAAAAGCAGTATATAAGTTAAATTCGGCTTGCAAGAATAAAACTGTCTTTATAGTGAACTGGCCATCAGAAGTTTAAACCTGAACAGTTTAAACCTAAACCTGAACCTATATATAATATCATGAATCTGTGAAAGTGGCTATTAAAAAAAATCTCTGCAATTTGCAGTTCTTTCATGAAATGACAGTTTCAGCTACATAATATGACTGGGTTTAGGTATTTCAGAAAATAATGGTGATTTTATTACACCCCTGGACCACATCCTTTGCTTGTCATCACAGAATCACCTGAAATACCTAATGGTTTTCAGCACTTCACAAAACGTCACCTTTTATCACTACTGTTCTGGAGAAGGTCAGGTCAAATATCAATCCAAGGAACAAAAAATTTAAAACACCTGTACATTTTACAAAGTTGTCTTCAGAAGGGTCTTTATTTTAGAAAATGTAATATATAGTGTGCTCTGTAATATACCATGGGGTTTTAAATAGTCTGGGAAATAAAATGAAAAGAGCTCTTTCTGTTATCTTTTAAACCAACAAGTTCAAAAAGCTAGAGGTTGGATATTTTGCGTAATGCATGCCTACTATTTTCTGTCATTTTGCAAAATAACTGGAAGTCATTCTGAGAAATTATTGAAAATTTTATTCATTTTGCAAAATGTGTAGCTTCATAATATGGCTGTAATGTATGTCAGAAATTGGTACATAAATAAGTAATAAATAATAAATAACTAAATAAATAGAGGGACTTGAATGAGATTTCTCTCTAATTGCTGAATAACCATTCCTGAAGTTGTCCCAGGATTTTCAACTTAAATTTAGAGAACAACTGTACAAAAAAGAATAAGAAATGTTCCATGTACGTAATCACAGAGTATTGTCCATCTATTGCTGGAATAAAGACAGGAAATACGGAATCCCAAGTCAAAGTTGAACCATGAATACTATCTGCTTAGAAAGTAAGTATGGAGAACACGCTCTGTTTTTTTAAGTCTAAATGTATATGTCAGTGTTTTCCCCATTTACATACACAGAATTATTTCTAATAAACTGCTTACTATGTGCCTCATTTCAGATATGAAATTCTAATGTGGACACACTGAGAAGTTGATTGAGAGCAGGCAAACAAAAGAGGAGTCTCATTCATGTGAGCATTGAGGATATGTACAATATAATCATAAAGGCACATATGGCCATGGTGGCCACGACTGTGCCATGAAACATTTGTTCATCTAAATATGCAAATGTCACCAGAGATGTTGTTGAGCACTTCAAATCCTTCTGGGTAGTGTTCTAAGAAAAGAGAAGGCACTACCTGGAATGGTTTCCTGACTGGTCTGCTCTGAACAAGGAGAACTTAACATGGGGTAAATTGACTGTCAATATGCAGTCCATGTGTCTGGGCAGCTTGAAGTGATAATGATGGAAGTGAAGTGCATCACCAAATTTTGTGTTTTCCACCCGCTTATGACAAAAGGACAGCAGCTGAGGTGGTTCTACAGCTTCTTGACATCTCTCCCACTTTTGACAATTCTTTTCTATTGCAGGATCATGATGGAACAAAATTCATTACTCAGGTAATGCAAGAACTAAAGTATTTGTGGTCTCAGCTCAGCTTTGAGCATGGAAAACCAGGATACTGTAGAAGGAAAGAACTAGCAGACCATACAAACAGCACAGTAAGGAGATGCTTAACGAGTATCAGGCAGATGATAATTCATAGGACCAGTCAGTGGGAATATGCTTTGTGAAGTTTGCTAAGAATTCAGCTCATCACTTGGGGAAAAAATTCAAGCTTATAATTTGAGCTTATATTGCTTTTAATGCATTTACATGGGCAAAATTATGTATCAAGGTTTTTTTCAAAAATTAACCTAAAAACTGAGAAATTTATTTCACTGATTTACCAGTCTGCATGTGTGCAGGAAAGGAAGGGATGAGGAAAGGAAGCTATTAGGACTTTTTGTGGAAACTGGAACAAGCTCAGCCTACCAACAATGCTTGCTGTCCCATGCCAGTATAAAATCATGATATTGTTTATGTCACCCTGCCATAATGAAGGAGTTAGAAACTGATATACTTGGGGTTTGTATTGACTTTATTGTAAAAGTCTTTTATAGTATGAATTTAATTTCATTAGGGAGCAGAGTTAATTAGTGGAGCTGTTTCTCATTACTAATGTAACCCATATATATGCAGAGTCTCATTAGCTCTGCTGGTATCTCCTCTGTATGCTCTGTTATATAAATAAAGAGGCAATTTACTGTATCACTGCTCTGATATTCAAGAATATGCTCCTTTCAGGGTTGAATGGATGCTGCACACTTTTGTGCACTTTACTTTGTCTCAACAATAATCAGCCTGGAAACTCAGTCGCAAATAACAAAATGAAAAATAACCACACTTGAAAATGGAGTTCTCACTCTGTCTGCCACTGAGAGGAGGCTGTAAATCTGAGCTGATACCTGTTCCACTGAGCAGTATTAATGTTCAGTCAACTAAGCAGCTTGAAAGGCTGAGCCTTCTCTGGTTCTTTTGAATGAAAACAAAAGAATTTTGCTTTGTAATGTAGCAGTGGGGTGTGGACAATAAACAAGGATGGCAAATACCACCAAACTTAACACCCCAATGAATGTGAAGCACAGGAAGCTGCAAAATTAGAAGAAAAAATAAAACACATGACAAGGCAGTTAATCACAGAGAAATAAGAAAATCCAGGCTGTGACAAAACAGAATGTGCAAAAAGATCTCAGCTGTTTCTTGATTAAATACCACAAACTGGTCACTCATGAGCATATTTAAGTACACAGGGGACAAAAAAAGAGTGGTAGCAGACACATATGAAGAAATACAGTGTGTGAAATGTATCACCATAACAACACCTTTTACAAAAATGTGTAGGAGTGTGAAACCACTGCAGTACTCATGAAGTAAAAATGACAAAAGTAATAATTATGTTGGACCAAGGTGGTTTCACGTAGTTTAATGTCAAGGGGTATTTTTGCTAGAACAGAAAATTCCTGAGATGATACAATAATAGCAAGGACAAAATCTTGTTCTAGAGGTCAGGATGTGCGTAGGAGCAAATGATAACTTAAATTTGTGTTACAAAATGTTCCACGTTAGTAATTGCTGCCAGTTAGTAACTACATTTAGTAACCAAATTTAGTAACTTGAACCTTCACAAACTTGTGAACACTAAGTAAAGGTGAGGATGGAAGATTCACCGCTGTAGTGTTGAGATGAGCTTAGATCACAGCCAAAAATGGATAGTAAGCAATTTTTCAAGATCATCCAGTCCTATCCTCTGCTCAAAGCATGGCTAAACTCAAAAGTTAGATGAGGCTGCACAGAACTGAGCCTAGTTGTATTTAAAAAAATCTAAGGATGGAGGATCCAAACATCTTCTCTGGTGTTGGAGCTGTGGGCCTCTTGACACACAGCTACACCACTCAAATGAATACCACAGAATCTCATATTCCATAGAATATGCTGAGTTGGAAGGGACCCTCAAGGATCACTGAGTTCACCTCCTGTCCCTATACTGGACACCCAAACGATCACACCTGTGAGGTGCCTGAGAGTGTTGTACAAATGCTTCTTGAACTCTGTCAGGATGGTGCTGTGACCACTTCCCTGGGGATTGTGTTCCAGTGCCCAACCACCACCCTCTGGATGAAGAACTTTTTCTAATATATAACTCAAACTTCCTCTACCACAGCTCCAGGACAAGAATACCCTGGAAAGAAAATGGAAAGGACCCACAGGGTACAAAGTCCAACTCCTGTTCCTGCACAGGACAATCCCAAGGATCACACCATGTGCCTGAGAGCATTGTGAAAATGTTTCCTGAGCTCTAGCAAGATCAGGTATGACTATTTCCTGGGAAGTCAGTTCCAGTGCTCAACTGCTCTGTGAGAGAAGAACCTTTTCCTAATGTCCAACTTGAACTTCCTCTGACAGCTTGAAGCAATTCCCTTGAGCCCTGTCGCTGGTCACCGGAGAGAAGAGACTGGTGCTGCCCTTCTGCTTCCCCTAAGTGTTCCTAATCCAAACTTTATTTGTTGTACCCAAAGCTCTTATTACAAAAGAAAAAAGTGCTCTGACAGACAACACACATGGGGTTCCATATTCTTACCTTCTACTTCTTTTGAAAGCATATTTTACCAACAACCACACAGCTTGCTGCCCCAAGGCACAATTAACTAAATTACAGCAGGGCGAGGCTGACCACCATTCCCCCAGCCTGCTGAGGTCCCTATGAACAGCAACCCCAGCTGTCAGCACATTGCTGCTTCCTCCCACTCCACGCTATCCACAAAGCTCTCTCCTGTTACACAGCTTGTGGTGGGATGCTGGAGGTTGCCAGATCCAGCACTGAGGAGCTTTGCCATTGGCTGACTGCCAGCTTCTCCTGGCGGCTCTTCTTTGGACGTCTTTCAGTGCCATGTTTGACCCTCACGCCCTTGCTCACCTGATATGCCCCATCTTCCAGTGATCAAACACTTTTTAACATACTCCACTCTCTTCCTGTCTTCTTCTGCCAAGTGAGAGTTTTGCTACCAGAGACAGATGCTTTTAGGAAATATTATGTAAGTAGTATCCCCTTATTACTGGTTCATTAAGAGGAAGCTTTAATCCAGAAAGGTTTTTTTTCCCTGGATTAATCCATATTTGAGACAAGCTTTGCAACTTACTTTTTAAAATTTTTCCAAACAAAAGCTTTCATTTAGAAATTATTAATATTTTATTACATATCCAGAATATTTAAACCGTTTTCTTCACAACTGTATTTTTCTTTTCCTGTACTGGCTCTGGCTGGGACAGAGCAATTTTTCTCCATAGCTGCCCATATGGTGCTGTGTTTTAGATTAGTGGCAAAACAGCGTTGATCACACACCAGTGGTGCAGCCCTTGCTGAGCCAGGCTTTCATGGCACCAACACCTTCTCTCTTTTGTGAATCTGCTCCTCTAGCCCATGGGCTGAGGGTGGGAAGGAGGTGGGGAGAGGACAGCTGAGCTGAACTGTCCTGAAGGATCTTCCATACCACATAACAACACACTCAGCAGTAAAACTGGGAAGGGGGAGTTTTGCC